ATGGTGCGGTTTTATTTTCTGCTCACAGTCTTGAAGGATTGCAGCAGATATTTCAGGATCGATACTAAGATGATGGTATTTCCTTAATATTCAGCCAAAAGAAGTAGCTCATCATCCGTCATGTCGGATTAACAAGAAAAGACAGCATAATAATGATGTAACAAATGTAGACGGGAAGATTTTCTAGGAGAATGTACACTGAAGAAAATAGTCGCTAGTAAATACCAAACGTTTAGTAAAATAGGTGCTAGTCACTACATTCATCTAATAATACCACTACAAAATAGTATGATACTTATAGTATAGTATGATATAATTTTGTTGTGATATTATTTGATGAATGTAGTGACTGGCGCCTCTTTTACTCGAGATTTTACTAAACGTTTGGTATTCACTACCTACTATTTCTCTGAGTGTACGCGGTTGATTCCCCGTTCGATATCGTGAAAGTACAAAACTAATGTTCTTGTTGATTTGTCCAAAGGTGTTGCCATTCATTGTCCTCTTGAATTCATCCTCGCAGAATAAATAAACTCTTCATGACTATTTTAGGGCCAGTTTATAGACATTATTTTAATTTAATTATTTTTGAACTTCATCGAGGATAACCATGATTGTTATATACAGAGAACTGCAGAAAAAACAGCCAGTGCTGTATCTCCTGAATCATTCAAGATCGAATTTTGATGTTTGATGGGTAGCATACCAAATCGCTTATTTATTAGCAATGAAATTTCAATGAACAACTGCATTTTCTCGGGGGAGACCACTGATTTTTTAAAACGACATTATTGTGATCTCTATGCTGAAAAACCAGTGAATGAATTTTGAATTTTTTCAGTCATGCTAAGACGATGAAAAAAATACATTAGAATATGTCCATTTCAAAACACACAATTTCTGTGCCATTTGAATTTTGTCAATTCATTGGTGTGACTGGTGTGACGTCTTAGTCCCAACACGCCTATTGCCCTTGAACTGACCAATCACACTGCAACACTGCAGAATGACGAGGTATCAGAGAGAGATAGCTACAGTTCGGGACTAATACGTCACGGCTTCACCATCATATTTGGCTTTTTGAAATATCGAATGAAATATGCTGATTTCAAAACGATATAGATTCGATTCCCTTCAACTTCAACTCATAATATTGATTGAACATAAAACGTAAATCATGATTCGTCGATTGAAAGAGGTTTGCACGGATTTCTTCCGTCAGTGGTCTTCCCCTGGCTTGAACATTGTGACCAACTTTTTTTGACCTCCTCAAAAGACATAGAACTGCATCAACACCCTGATCAATCCAACGCAACTATATACAATATCACTCATGTATTATGTGTATCTCAGCTCACCTCTCGGTGGAATTGAATTCTGGTTGACTGCATCAATGGAAAGATCAATATATATATCAACTAGTTATGTGGCCTAAATTGGGCTCGTGTGTACAAGCTTATTCCGATTTTAAGTTGTTCGTCTCGGAATTGGCAGGAAAATCGGTATTCGCATTGTAAGTTTTATGAAAATCGATGAAGTCTCAGAGGACAAATTGGCATTGCAAAGTTCGAGTTGGTTCGTGGAATTAGCTGAAAAACATGGGCGAGCAAGTTTATAGCATCTTGGAGCAAACTTTTCAGCATTTTTTTTTTCGTTTTCATATGATCTATGATTGGCTTTCACTTCGGCACACAGTAAATCAAATCAGAGTGGCCGTAAAACCCAAATGATAAAAAAATCACAATCCGTTCATTGAACGTCTGTCGATTCAAGGAACATTTTATATTGATTTGACTCTGTCGGAAAATTATATCAACCATAGTGTGCGCCACAGTGGCATAAATACCTCAAAAATTTCTAGTGTTCACAATAAAAAATACATTAGATATGTTCAAAATTCTGGAAATTCTTCTTATATAAATATTCCAATTATGATAATGCGCCATAGAGGTGCCTTCGCAGAAACAGAATAGATAATAAATATAAATTTACATTTCAAGATATATAAATGATAACCACTAACACTAAACTATACAAATATATATAATGATACGATCTGAAATTGAAAGATTCACATCCCTACACAATAATAAGTAGGTAGTATAGGGATGTAGACAAAATTCACCGACTCTGAATGAAGGTGATGTCTTCCTCTCCATTTTTATTATGGCGTGTACGTGCCACGTGGGTTTTTCGAGATTAAAAACAGGATATTGAAATATATGACGAGCATGTAAAAGAGGGGTAAAATTTTACTGCGGCGTAACTTTTTCGGAGTACATACATGCGGAATTTGAACATATACACATTTCACTTCACGTTTTACCGAACTTAGATGATATTCCATGAGTAACTGGATGTTTGTTTCTATATTTGCATATATCTAGAATCACTAGCCTGAAAATCATATAGTGTAATATTGATAATAATAATAATACGTCTTTATTCACCATAGTATATAGAAACAAGAATCCAAGTGTAGATATGAGTAAAAGGGTGGAGTGTCAACTTAAGCTGATTTTAAACTCAACCTTTTATACAAAAGGATTAGGTAACACAAAAAATTGAGAAGAAAGAAAGAGGTACTTAGTGATAGTTGTTAGTCAGGAATATGGACAGTCAGCAATCCTTAATGAGTGGCCAAGGTTCGGTTTCAAGTAATTGTGGCGTCTAAATGAATTAGATATATATATATATAGCATCAAACTTTTCCTGAAATTATCAATTGTCTATGATCTAAATTGACTAGGGAGTAAGTTTCGGTGTCATGTACGAGAAGCTGCGAGTAAAGATTGCAGTCTTGTGTTTGTTACGAGTTGTTATATATTTATATCTGAATGAATCAAATTTTTTTAAAGGTTCTCGGGCGTGTTTGTCCTCAGTACTTTATGGGTGATAATCAACAGGTGCAGAATTCTGAGTTCCTAAAGCTTGAGTCAACCTGATTCCTTCATTGTTGATGAGATATGGTCATTTTTGAATTAGCTTCTTCAGGTGATATATACTGGTACAATGAATTGTAGTACGTAGTTACTGTGTTAGCGAAACATGTCGTGTGTTTGAGAATTTTGTGGAAATCTTATCGTTCCCGAAGTTTTAACGTTAGATATGGTCATATTTGCGGACACCACGTATACCGTAAACAACTGTTTTGGATGCGTTGCAGGCGCAGAGAGTCAGATTGCCGCAAGGCAGGTCCATAAATACTGTCACAGTAGGAAACTTTAGTGATGATACACACTGCAGTTTGAGCTTGAGTTTCAATATGGATACCTACTAATTTTTTCTTATGAGAAATATTTGAGGTTAACGTTAGACAATATTTCTCAGAGCTATATCCTCACATGAATATAAAACTGTGATAGAAATCCAAGTCCCACTAAGTATCCATTAAGTATCACATCAGTGGAAATCCACACCATCTACAGCATGGAATTATGTCTGGGAACCCAATTCCAACAGTTACTTCACTGCAAGTAAAACGGTGCTATAATAGAGTCCAGGGCAAATTATACGGTAATGACATCCGTTGGAAAAATGACTAATCAAGATAGCCTAATGGGAAATATAATGACAAAAATTGTAATTTGTGGCTCATGTGATGATGTTGTCTCTGAACATTTCGTTATTTCGAGTGAATGAATGGAAACCAGAATACGCTTTATTTCTTGTTTGTCCTCCTGATGAAAGATATGTCATTCCTGCATCAATGATCGAATTGGGTTGATTTTATGATTTGAAAATAGATCCACTGATCATTCGATGTACCTACATCTTCACGAGACTTTTTTAATTGAATTCGTTACATTAGGAGTCACTCTTCGTTTATTGATTAGAATTCTGATAGAATGATTGAGATGCCGGACCCATACTAAAACTTTGGTAGTTGATAAATTCGGTTTCACATCATTATACCATTTCATCAGCGTCATTTCACTTCAATTCAGCGATATAATCGATGTATCCCATCACTTTAATGAAAAATTCATTAATTTCCACAAACTAGCAAGGAACGTCACTAATTTTTCAAGAAATGTGTGATATACAGGCTAATTCATTGGGAAATATCTGAACTACATGTAGTAAACAACAGAATATGGAAATTTAGCTCGACATGCCCTATAAAAATGTTGCCAAAGATACAATAAGGTGCTCAAGGGAAAGATTCGATTTCAAAATTTCTCGATAACTGTTAGTTTGAAATAAAAATCCAAGTTCTTGTGAAGCAGCTTTCGCGATGGATCTGACAAGATTTTTCCATGAAGGAGTATTGCTGATGAAAATACTGAGCATAATTATAGTGGACTTTGTGTAGATGGTGGTATGAGACATTGAGTTTCGCCTTCCTAGTGAAAATACAGGCTTGAGTTTTGGTCTATCGTTTTATCTTCAGATCCATGCCAAACAGTGAAATCACAAAAATGTCTTTGTAATTAAACTTTGTGGTCGACCGACTTTGCGTTTATGTTTTTTCTTTGAAATCACAAAGTTTTCTGCTCAAAAGTTGACAAAGATCACGACACAACAACACAACCTTTATCATATATACTGAATTAACAGAGTGTTACTAGCACCCCTCATAAGCAATCACAAAAGATGTTACGAATTCTCAATTTTCATGTCAGAAAAACTGAAACTACACAATTTTATTTTCATGCTGCTAGAACTTACAAAGCTATTGAGACATTTCGAAATAAAATCTTCTCCTTGAACACCTTGTATCTCTTAAGCCAGTATCACTTTCATAAGGTATGTTGGCGAAGTCATCATGATTTTGTGTTCACTAACTGTAGTTCAGAGATTGCCCATTCTCAATGAATCCATCCATGGGTACGAGCTGAGCAAAAGAACCTCGAGTGTATAGTATTTCATGACAAATCTTGTTCTTACTACTACCAATGTAGCACTATTATCATTCAAAACAATCGAAAATCATGTTTTGAAATCCTTATTCACATATTATATAATTAATACTCCAATAAATTCTGTTTTGTCTGCAGGTTAGTTATGTTTTTGGTTCCCGAAACTATCCGATTTGATATCCAGTAAGTACTATCAATAGGTGCAACATTGAAATTGATGAGTAGTATCGCATGTCCAGAGAGCTTTGAATTCAAATTTGTATTAGACTTATCAGTAGTGAGTAGATTTGTATATTTCAAATTATTAATCGCACAATCTCTTATATCTCATTCTCACGTGGAGCATCGTTCAATAACAACTGAAGTATTTCATGAAGATTAAACAGAGCTATCAAAACTCTTGCTAAGTACATCTATGCCGTTCGACATAGAGTACCGCATGTATCACTCACTATAGATGGCGCAATCTCTGTGTCGCTGTTGAATGCATCAGAGAGAAAGATGGAATGATTCCGTCAACATCATCATCGTCGACGAATTATTGAGGTTGAAGAGGATTGAACTCCTCTAGGTAGGTGATTCTTCAGCGAAGTCGCTGGATAATGCTGGTTGACCCTAAACTATGGAGTGTAAAAATATGTAGAGGAAAAATCTTCAGCATTCATGCAATCATGATCGCTAGGAAACCTCGAATGCCTTACATTCATTGGTAGACTGTTCGAGCAGGTAGAACTGGCATCGAAAGAGCAGAACCAGCTGGGGCATACAAAATAATTTCCAGTTCATAGGACCCAAACCTATGAGGAAATGGAGTCATGGAGGCATCATCCAAGAGCTCTATCCAGATTTCAGAGAAATGATCTTACATCACATGATAATGATATGCCTAGTAATTGGTATGTCAAAGCAGGAAAATGTGTGTCAGAGAAACATCTAGGTTTGATCTCACTGTGGAAATATGCTTGTCGCATACTATATGGCAATATTTTGCTGTAAGACTCGTCGAAAGTCAAGAACCGAGGACCGAACTTCATTTCTGATTCAATAATGGTATAGAAAGCTTCATGGGTTCATCAGAGGGCGGGGGTTACTAAAGGAACTTCCCTCTCAATCATTCATTCCTCCATTTATCTTTATTCTTACTTGCACTGAAAAGTCTAGGGTCCTAAAATATTTTTGCACTGCCGAATGATCATGTAGTGCCTATTGGGAACTGTACTCATCACAGTTTGAACGCTAGAAAAAAAAACAGTCCCAGACAGACAAACAGACAATTTATAGGGGTTTAACCAGTACTCGCACTTCTGATGATCCCTAACGCACCGGCTCTATATACATAATGCCGTAATACCAAATTTCGTTCCTCTTTGAACATAAATTTCCATTTTTATTGATAAGGCTGTGCATATATGAAGAGGGAAGCGTGCCTGGATTATAAATAAACAAAATTAATTCAGATGACTCTATCACATGAACGTATATGTATGTATAGTGAGCAAGCCACTTTATCAGCACTTTTGCCACGGTAGAGAACATAACGACCTAGGAAATGCATCAGAATTAGATAGTAAAAATATAAGTGTGTCGATGATTATCCTTCATTTCCGCAATTTTGATAGATGAAACTTCAGAAGACTGATTTTTGAAGTTTGATCAACACAGACAGATGAAGAACCGTCTATCTGACATAATTATTATAGTACCCACTTTAGTTGGCTTTATGGTTAACAGCCCCTTTCCCCTCTATCAATTGGGATAGCATGTATCCGCCAGTGAGCGAACGATATGAAGGGATAGAGCGAAATAGAGAAGACCCTATAGCCTATAACAGTGAATATCGATTAGTGGTTACAAGTCAACATACGAAAGTGAGTGAGAATGGCTTTAGGATGCAAAAGATATGCGGCATTATAAAAATAGGTTATGTAGCTAAAACGGCGAACGCTTCAGGAACAATGAAATATAGAGTTTTTGTTGTTTCATTCGTTTAACGTTGACCTATATCTGGGACCAAGGGCGAAGCAATGCCAGAGATCGAACTACCCCAACTGAACTTGTGGCTGATGCTCCGCGTTCTCCAGAAAGCGCGACCATCCCTCTAGTGGGCATATACCGGGAACACGTAAACAAGAAATGATTCAAACTATAGTAATTTGAAGAAATAACTTCCGATTTTAGTAGGCATGACAGAAATAGTATATTATACACCTGGATATAATGTGCGAGCTACGAGATATATAATAGCATTCTCGCCCGAGGAATATATAATATTTCTACATAAACATCTTCCATTAAATCACACATTCATTTCCATTGAAGGTGCAATGCCATTCACCTTGTATATTCAGAATTGTTCATTATATTACGAAAATTGTGATATTGAAAATAAATCCTGTATTCAATTTCCTGATGAAATTGTGAATAATCACAAAAAACGAGTGAGAATTTAGGTGACAGTGATTTTGCTGCAGAAGTTTGTACCCGCGGCTGCATGAAGTTAGGAAATACACTGATAAAATCGCAAGTAGATATTGAAAATACAGTATTCATTAAAATGTTTTGAAATATTTGAACCTTATGAATATCGCAAATGATACCAATCATTGATCTACATAATAATTCATATCGTATTGACCGGCATAGCTGAAATTGTTGCGATTGGTAAAAAAATGCGCCCATACCAAAAGTCATGCGGTTATTTGAATTGCTCTAACTCACACATGACAGTGACAGCTCACAGATGATCTGTATTTTGTGTTGTGAGTTGTGACATTTTTAGGATGAATAATAATCACATTATTCCAAACATTTTTCGTAACTTGTGAAATTGCATTCAGCTGTAATGAATTTCGTATAGCTTCAACTATAGTTGGTTCGAAGAATGTTTAAATTTTCATCGGTATGGGAGAACATGTATTTTTCATATCTGTAGTTTCAAATCATCCCGAATACGTTTGCATCACCATTAATGAGACGTAAGTTCGAGATTTGTAATTCTTTTTTAATTTTTCGATGAACCTATATGGAACCTGCGTATGTTACTGCTCTCAGTGACGTTAATAATTAGGAGAGTGGGGCATCCTTGATGACCAATTCAAAAAGGGCTTGAGGGGGCTGAAGTCACCCAATTTATTATCAAGCTTCCCCAAATTCTCAATGACAGACAGTACCCCACCTGAAAGCAAAAAACAACACAAAAGAAATCAATTCATTGTCATCCATTTTGTATAACCTGTTAGGTTTCTTTGCACCAGTATCGATTTCATCCATATTTATCTCGATATTCATAATCAATGAAAATTTTTTTAATCCATCACTTTTGTGTACAGGAGCGTCAATAATATCGGATTTTTCCGTGCAGCTGCCCATAACAAGAACCCTACTACCAAATTAGAGTTATTTGATGTTGTACAAAGAATGTATTACTTGTTACCAACTATTTTTTCCTGGCATGCTCTCCCTGGTGGTACCCTCGTCTTCTGTTATTTTTCCTCTTAGAAACACATTTTTGTACATGCATGTTCGCACCTAAATGTTAGTGCTGGGTTTGTTGATGATAGGTTTTATATGAACACATTGTGATCGTTCGTTACTGGAGATCTAAATACACTCACGGTCAAAAAAAAACGGCCAGCAAAAAAATCAGCCAAATTGATATCGCCCTGAAACTTTTTCAATTCTTTTTCGATTTTGGTGAAATTTCAAACAAATCGTGAATTTATGTTTTGGAATGTTTACCTGAGTTTTAGCTCTCAAAAGAAGCTGATGGCTTGATCATTATACAGGAAAAAACAAAAGTTACTGTTTTACGCTTAATCTTGATGACCTGTGGCACAAGTGAGTGATTAAACTTCATCATGTTTTGGATTGAAGTGCCATCTTTTCTCAAAATATTGGTTTCCGTTTCTTATTATATATCTTATTTTCAAGAGAAGATACAAGTGTTTTAAGGAAGTATAGATTTTTTTTAATTTGCAGAAGCTACATGAGAGTTGTCGATCAACAACGATTAACAACTCTAACATCTGAAACTTGATATCACTCATTTCCATCCCGTTTTTAGCACTCACCAGCGAAGGAAAACCTTGAATACTAAAAAACAAAGGTATATCTAGTCAATAACGAGTATATATTCCCTCCTCGAGCTTGAACTACAGCATTCAACTGTCGTGGCACAGACTTCTACCAGAGATTTCTCAATCAGTCTGAGGAATTGCCCAAATTCTCCCCAAATAACGAATCACGATGAAGATTGAAGAATTCCATACTTTCTTGAAACAGTTGTATCTCCTCTCGAAAAGAAGATATTTACGTGATTCAAGAACCATTGTGGTAAGAAGGTTGGAGGATGGTTCGAAATGTTAATAAAAAATATCAAAATCCATAATTTCACTTGAATTATATCTATCCTGAAAGAAGATGGATAGATTTGGTGAACTCATTACAAGTTATAATAAATGGATATTGTGAAAGGCATATACTGAGCAGATTGTTCTTGGACTCCTCATATCAAGTTCAAGTCTTCTCATGTTCTATCTCCGAGGCTACCTCTAGGAATATATCCATCTTGGTACAAGACATTCATGAACAGACTTGGTGAACTTCGTAAACATGTGAGAATTAACTGATACTGTGCAAAAAATATACTGAGCATATACTGTTCTGGGACTGCGGAAATGGTGTTCTTCATTTGATTTAAAGACATCTAATGAGACCCAGAATATTATCAGAGAATTATTTATGGTCAAGAATAAGGTTGTCGTACCCATTGATTGAAGTATACCCCAGGCTGCATTCAGAGAGCATAGGATATTGAATGTAATAAAAGGAGTTGAAAGACATAGAAACGGTTTCGGAAACCTCATTTGAGTTATATTGACAATTGGAATAATGTATCAATTTTATGTAACTGTCTGTTTCAACAAATGAGTCTAGACCGTTACTGAGTGGTTTTCTTGAAGAAAATCATTATTCCAACGGAATGGTATATTATTTCGTGAATGGTTCATTGATTGGCGTTATCAGAGAACGAACACTATTCGATTGCAATGAGAGCATCTGTCAAGGAAGCAATTCTAAGAACATCAACAGATGTGTATTCCTTGAAGAGGAATATATCTGGTTGTCACGTTCGTTTCAGATAAATCAATAACAGTGAAAATTGCTTGTCTGTTCTTTGGTCGGCATACACATTTATCTAGCCATTGGGCATTCATTCCACTGCTGCTGTTTGGTTTGTTCAGGGTTGAATTCCGGTCTCTAAATGGAAAAGAGATAAAGTTATTTTGACAATGAGACAATATTTATTATGTTGCGGAAAATTGAAAATCTCAGCTTTCGAATTCTATATATTATTCATAATATTTTTCAATTCCTTGTTTCCTTTTTTCTCATCTGCCTTAGGAAATGGATTGAATCTCCTTCAAAATTCGTTTTCACGTCTATAGTTTTCTCGCATCAATGAACTTTTTGAAAATTGACAACATCGACAGGGTTATGTAAACCAAACTGCGCACGTGATAGTTCGATATTCTAACAAATTATCAATTCGATTATTAAAATCATATGTGAGATAATTTGGGCCACATTTCACGTAAATCTTCACAATGTGCAATTTAATTTCGAATGACTGCAGGTATGAAGAAAATATTCAACTAGACTTATTATCTTAGTTAGTCATCTCAATCTAGGCAAGCAAGATCATTTCAATATGATGTTTCAACTACATGATGTTTTTTGCTTATTCCACACTTTCTTGGGTGAATACCAATTTATATTAATCACAATATTATAACGCTCAGGAAATGAATTGGGTAGGTATAGTCTCCTTCATAGATTATATCGCAAGAGATAAAAACTGGACAGTGATGCCATCGCTCATATCGCAGGAATTGTTGAGAATGATTTCGTCGTTCGACATGATCTCTGAAGACGACTGTATCTATACTATGTAGTATTCCTATCTTGAAAATCTGCACTTTCCACTTCTGGAAACTCGTTTTCATTCATTCGCCTGACATTCTTGTTTGCACAATATGTGATCAACACTTTTTCTTCCTGTTCGTCTGAAGAAATTCAAATATGGCCTTCAGTAAAAAACAGTAGCATGCCGAGAATCCCTAGTTCACTTTATTAATCCAGCCTGAGTAGACTTTCTCTACTTCTTTTTTGCTGATATGAACATTTTGAAAAATTCTAGAAGTATGCAATTTCAATGTAATGATAACATTTACTCGTAGCAGTATTCTTGTTTTCATCAGAAACAATATAAATCTTGCTCGAGGACACTTTTATGAAATGGTCTTCAGTATCGTTGAAGATAAATCAATTTTGTGAGCCAAAAAATGCATTCTTGATCCATTGTGAATAAATGTAATTTCATGAAGTACACAGAGGCTTTCAAACACTTATATACATGCATTATATCTGTTACACTACTAATTTCTATTTCTTTTATATAGAACACATGGTTGTCGTTGCCCCCCCTGGGAAACATTTGTATGGGCGCCCATGGTACAAGGTAAGTTCACATTATTACAAGAATTTCCTTAGTATTTATGAACGAATGAATTCTTTATTATCTTTATTTTTAGAACTTGTCGTGCAATGTTGATCAATATATTCTCAGCTCTATTTGCCGTAAACCGCTATCGATTCGTTCATATATAGATATTTTTTTTTATCTGAGTATGTTTATGTCTTTCGTTATTCTATATCACTTCTGAAGTGACGGCATAGTTTATAGCAATCAAGGAATAGCTGATATTGACTCTGGTTGGCTCATGGGCAAAAAAATACAAGAAGTTGAAGTTGTGACGACAATCTGATCTGAAGAAAGTATCCATTTTTTCATAAACTTTCTTCTTCCTTCGATGTATTTTTTTCATCTTTTGGAGTGCGCGAATGAGAATCGCTATCATGCTCGGGGAACATTGGGCGTACCAAGGAAGCATAGGGAGAGATGGTAGGTATTTAAAATTTCCTCGAACCTTTGGAGATTGTAAGTTCTTGGGCATACTTCCTTTGGCAAAGAAATCCAAAGCTCTACCTTCCTATTGACTACCTTGTTTTGATGATAAAAGGATATCTGACTGATATTGTTAGAGATGGAATGATCAATTTGAAGGTTGACTGATAACAGGGCAATTGGCCTATAGTTGTTGGGCAGGCTTTTGTTTCCTTTTTTGGGGATTAGATGGACTCTAGCTATTTTTCAGCAAGATGGTAGAATACCTGACTTGTAGGCGATGGTAAATAGCTTGCAGATATTGATGAAATTATTTTCTGGGGAAACAAAAACCCGGGTGAATCCAATGTCACCAAAACTGAAGCCTGTACTTTATATAGCAAACCCTAGTTCAACCATGACCATAGACTATAGAGTATCAGTGTCAGTGATACTCCTTCATGAGGAAATCTCGTCAGATCCATCCATTGAGCTACTTCACACCTCTATATGTGGCTTTTTATGATTTAAGGCACAGATCCAGCTCATTTTAGAATACTGTTTCCACATATGGGATTCTGCGCCCAAATATCCTGCAGCTGATGGTCTTAATAGGTTTCCTCTAGTGACGAGCAATTCACCTAATTGGTGATGCCACACTCATTAATTCCCTGACAACATTGGAACACCGTCAGAATGTCGGCGACCTTTCACTTTTCCATAGATACTTCCACGGGAAATGTTCTTCATCACTAGCAATACCAGTAAGAGTAAAAATGTTGAACAACAATCTACCAGGACTCGTTCGTCTATAGAACGGCGAAGCTTTGGAATTCTTTGTCAATGGAACTTTTCCCAAGAACTTATAACCTCCAAAAGTTCAGAAAAAAATGCCAACACTTACCTTATCGAAAAAAATCTTCGTTGACAGCGTTGACTTTTCTTTGTAGTGAGTTCTTAGTTTCTTGGGATGGAATGAGAATTCTGGAAGAGAACTTAGTATGGAGAATACTGTTTCTGCAAAGCTATGGCTAGAGCCAAAAGGGAAGCTTGTGAGGCCGGAATTGATGGCTATCGTTTTTTTCCTCATTTGAACATCATCCAGTACATTTTGTCACGAACTTCGCCAACGTTTGGTTCCCTATAGAATAGGGTATTCGATTGCACACTGAATAAGCGGAATCAACAACTTTTGTTCAGTTTATGTGGAGAAGTTGGGGGAAATTGAAACCGAAAACCGTATTTCATCATTAAATTGACAGTGACTACGGAACAATGTCTCTCAAACAGGAAAAACAGTTCAATGGAAAACATGGAGCCATCATTTCAGAAACTAACGATCAAAATCCAGGATTTCAGTGGAATTATTCAGTCAGTGTCAGTGTTCAGTACTGGGAGAGAAAAAATACTAATAAGAGACAGGAAGTGGGATTGGAGGAAAGATAACTCCTTAGAAATAGTTTCCTACATTCTAATTTCATCTGAATAGCTTGACTGCAGTGGAATATTTATATTTCTAGTACCATATCATCACAATAGTCTCGAAATTCTGAAGAAATAACGAACTAACAAAGAAGGTATTGGCAAAAACATTTCATAATCCTTCGTTTTTCACATTTAGAATTATTTTACTTTCCTGAAAATTATTTTTCCATATCTTCAAGTCAATATCTCCAGAAGGTATCAAAATTTCGAACCTTCCTCATACAGGATGTGTTATTTCAACGTTCTCCAATTTAAAGCCTTTCGTAGACATCGAAATCTTCTAGCAATAAACTAGGCTTAATTCGTTCAACATCAACTAATTTTCCCTAGAGAAAATGTTCCCCTCATGTTTCTGACGACCATGGCCCAGATCCTCTGAATCGGGCGGTATATTGTTAATTTTCAATGTCACAAGAGAAAAGTCGTCTGATGTATATAAAGCAAAGTGATAATAACCTACTCCTGTCCAAGTTTCATGATTCGATTTTGTTTTGTACTATAGAATTGAATCCATCAGCTAGTCATCTCCACAACGTTTAATATGTCAAGATTGAAATGGAGGCATGTTTCGGGCAACAAAGGTGTCCATCATCAGCCGAGGAGGGAAATAGTGATATAAATGTATATCTAGAAACAAGTATTGAGTACACAGGGTGTTTCAAGAAATCCTGATTCCCTTGCTAGGTTAGGTAGAACACTGCAAAATAAGTCGGGTTTGCTCAGTGAAAAAATATCGTAACTGCATCCGTTTTCAAGATACAAAGTGTTGAAAAAAAATTTTGTTACACACATTTTTTAGGATTATGTCGACACTACTGGCAACATCGTAATGAAATTTTGTGTGGATGTTTTTTTGGAGCTGCCACATCGTATAAATTTGTTTTTATATCTGACTCTCATAGAGGGCGCTAGTTACACGGTTCGTGACGAGTAATTTTAAACTAAAATTTTTTGAGGTTAAAAATTTCAATCCAAATTTGATGTGAACTCAAACATCATTCAATCACACACCAAGAAGGAACACTTGGTTAAACTCGATACTGTGTTCCGTTTTTTGGATATTTCGAATTGAAAATCATGAAATGATAACTGTTGCTGGTATAAAGCTTGTATTAGAGTAAGTATTATGGGAAACTCCTATTCATTGAAAACCGAAAATGACAATACATTTCTAATGCTAAATCTATTTATTGAACAGTGAATCACGAGAATAACATTGAAACAAATTTGACTTAAAACATATGGATTACACAGCTCCATTGTAGGTTAACCCGTTACCTTCCACGGATATTTTTTCATATATTCTTAGATGTTTTTGTAATAATAAGCCCTTTCTAGTAACACAAACACTGGGCAATACATTGAACAATAAATTCCTGGCAGGTTTTTGAAAAAAAGTGGTGTACTCAAATGACTAAGATGGGAGGGTGCATAGGAAAATAACTCAAAAGCTTGAATACTGCAAAAAAATTTCAAGTATTTCAAAATTGCATCACAAAAAATGAAAAATATTTATGTATTTGGATCACATGTCTGTGCATGCAGAATTCGGAATCGAAGAAACATTTGTTTTAGTTTTTCGCCATACCTATATTTCGAAAACAAAAATCAGTCCACCATCATGCTGGCACCTTCACCATTTATTGAATAGTAGGTACAGAGAAGTACAACAAATCACGAAGTTCTTCGAAATTGTATATAACGAACAGTTAGTTTGTGTGACTAGTTTCGGCAATACGGCCATCATCAGACACAAAATAGGGTACCATTAGATGAGGGATAGCGAAAATCACTAAATGCTACAATAGTATACGCAAGCCATGTGCAAATTAAGTGTGAAAAATTTATTAAATTAGTTGTCGTCGGAAGGAAAATCATAATTAGAAGGATTCACTCAGACCTTTGAGTGTCATCAGACGGCGATTATCAAACAAAAACAAGAAACCAGAATATAGGAAATACTCAGTATTGCTTTCGTGTTTTTCTGGAAGATCGGTTGATTTCAGGACTTATTAAGCAGCAGTTAAATCCATAAGTTCATAATTTGCTTCACCTATGTGTATAGTATAGACCCATAAAGCAAGAAAACGAGCACTATAGATTTCTCGTGACGTCAGCAAAGGTCACACATTCCATAATTAGACCACCGCATTCATTTCATTTACGGAGTATGAGCTCTCTTACTCTTTTGTATTCCGTTAAGGGTTTTGTGAATGGTGATGCTGTTGAATTTGAAGCTTGAATCCCTCTGTTCAATATACGAGATGCAACTTAGAGTGTATTAATGTTTAGTGTAATCTAATTCGAACACCGGGTGAAACGGAGGACCAAATGAAACTTTCATCTAATTAGAGTAATTGAAACTTTTCTGCTATAATTACCAAGCTGAGTTTCCAGATTCTTGGAATAAGAGCCCAAATTTGTTGGATGATGTTATTGAAACAGAACAGTCACTTGAGCTCTTGCGCAATTTTGAAACACGAATCAAGAATACATTTTCTATCTCATTAACTTGTTGGTTTCATAGTGTGTATGGAAACAACACATTTATTTATTGATCTATATATTTATTTATTCATTTATTTTTCTATCTATTTATTCATTTATTTATTTATTTGTTCCTTTATTTATTCATTTATGTTCTCTGCTAGCTGATTTTCTCTCAACCAGGTCTCTCTATGTAGTGGTCGACGGAGTTTCATCTGCCTCTCTTATCATAAATGCTGGTGTTCCGAAAGGATCAATTCTAGCCCCAACACTATTTATACTTTATATCAACGATTTGTTGGAAGCAACTTCATGTCCAGTACACAGCTTCGCAAATGATAGTACCCTCCATACCTCCTTCTCTTCCAGGGTTCCAATACCAGCCAGGCAAATCAGAAACGAACGAGGGTAGATTTTGATGCAAACAAAACACAAGCATGCATTTTCTCTAGAAAAGCCGATCTCACTGTGACCAACATAAGCTTGTCAGGAGTAACCATACCTTTGAAGACATGCATTTCGATGCTTGGTGTTACTATCAGCAATAACCATTCTTGGAAAAATCATGTGAGATCAATTGCTGAAAGTGCATCCCAAAAACT